TTTTTTTTTTTTTTTGAATCAGTTCATCAATGTCATAAGTTCTGGTGATTAGCATTTTGGTTGCACATGATCGTGTAAAATTTGGAATCTGTCATGCAGTTGATATTGAATTTTGGGATTAGAAATGCCAGGTGATTGATGCCGCTATATATAAATACGAAAGGATTTAGTTGCATGATTTCGGTGATAAAATTTTATGCTATTGTCAATTTGGGCATATTCATGGTATGCTGCCAGTAACTAGTTACAAATGCATCTCATAACATCTAATCTTGGTTAATTTGCTTGTTGAAGCAAAATTACCAGACTTTATCCTCTTTTCGAGTGATTTACTCTTCTGGATTTAAGTCACACGCATAATGCAGCTAAAGCAGCATTTAAAGCTGACAGAAAAGATTACTGAAAGATGAGCACATATGAGCTACTGCTTGCTTTCCTGGAGTCACTCGAATATCCCTTTTTGCTCATTGAATTTTGTATTATCTATCTATATATTTACCACAAGTACTTCCAAATGTAATGTTTTCTGGTCTTTTTAATGCATTTATTCAAATATTTTAGAGCTTAGAAATCAGTCAAATTGACTACAAGCTTAAATTTGACTGATATCAATTAGATGGTATGTTGTATAATCTTTATTCATCACTGTGGTGTCAGATTTACCAACCAAAGGACATTGAAGAGGTTAAAGAAGTTTCAAAGACAAAGGAAGACCAGATGAAAGAATATCAGTCAGCAGCAAATCGCCTTGATAGTGCAAGGCTGGTCAGTATTTCAAATGACTCTTTATGCTGCCAATATAAATATTGAAAGAGTTTTTTATTGAATTCGAAGTTCTTTCAGATTTCTTGTCGCTAGTTTTCTTTCTTTAATTTTTCTCCATCAAGATATTTCATACAAGTTCCGTGAAGTTATTTAAGATCAAGTTTATTGTTTTCTTATCTATATCACCTTCTCCATTTGTAATCCAAATTGTTTCTGGAGTTCCTTGGAAAACCTCTTCTGCTAGCCTTCATGATTTTCGCGGAAAGAATTTGCTTTTATTTTAATCAATCGAGAGGTACAATTTTTGCAGCGGTGTTCCTGCAATCTAAAATCCTGCTGTCCATGTTTTCCCCCCTTTTTTGGTCATGACTTGTATTTAGGGCCTTGAAGTTGCAACTAAAACTGACTATTCTAGAATGTTCCACATTTTCTTTTGTTTTCTCTTGTGAAGTAAATTTATATTATTTATATTCCTTGCTACCTGACATAGGCTGGAAGTATCTTATCGCTTCGTTGGAAATTTTATGGGAAAGCAGCCTTAAGGAACTAATTCAATTATTTTGTATATGTTATTTTATTGTTCATTTTGCTGATAATTTTTTTTTTAAAGATCCGGTTCTTGAATCTTTCTTTCATTTGAGACAAATTTCATCAACGCCATGAATAAATTTAATGTTTCCCTTTCTTTTCGAATCTAAGAAGGTTCATCATAGAAGGAAAGGGCAATGAATTGCGTCATCCGGTTACGAAAGAAGTAATTTTAGCCGAGGTATGATTTTGTTCTTTTACTTCTGAACTATAAAGAAGTGACGAGACTTTGTTTCTATATTTGGCATCTGATGCTGAAGACGTTTGATAATAAATCAGGTTGCTAGGCAGCTTCAAGTGCACATTGAACCTGAAAATTTGCAATTGCCGACTCCTTTATCATCTTTAGGAGAATACGAGGTGCCGCTTCGCCTACCAAAGTCCGTTCCTAGGCCACAAGGAAAAGTTCAATGGACTCTCAGCATCAAAATTAGGAAACGGTAAAGGGACCTTGGCCATTTGAATGATTACGGCGTTTTTTCTTTTCTTTTCTTTTTTTATCGTTTTAACTTGTAGAATTAGAGAATAATTATTACTATGAGTTTTGGAACAGATTGAACATATGTATCTATCATCATTTTGTATCCTTGACCATTGAAAGTCGTCTCATTTATTTAA